TTAATTTGAACAAATAAGGTAAGGCTATATCATTAAAAGAAAAAAAAATCTGTTTAAAAGATGTATGTTAGAATTAAAAGTAAGATGTTAAAATTTAAAAAGATGTAACAGAGTAAAACCAAAGAATACTGGTAATTCCCATCTGGAAAAACAGTAATTTGAGTACGATATTGAAAAAGTTGGTTTTAAGAATTTCTTTATGCATGTGATGCAAAACAATTGCTAGTTTATCATGAGTGCTGACATAGATGCAATTAGTGCAGGAAAAATAGTAAAATTAGTATAGTTAGTGTCTCTAAAACATGAAAAAATAATAGTGTGAGCAGTGTAAATTCATTTGAAGTACTGAAATATGACATAGACTAAATATCAGAAAATGTAAGAAATATTTTGGTATGTGTGGATGAAACACTGAACGTGATTAATTATAAAGTGTGTAATTAAACGTGATTAATTGATAAAGTGTGTAAAATTAGAAATGAAAATTATCAACACACTTAAAGGTAATCGGGATTTAAAACTAAACATGATGTTAGAAACTTTGAAGACCATAAAACTATATGAGAAAGAAATACATTTAGATATAAATGGTATTAAACTGTAAAGTTGTGAATGGAAATTTCTGAGTAAAACCTGTAGATGATCTATTATGATCGAGGAATAAAACAAGTATTATAAAAATTGTAAGGAAATATTTGAATATGGAGTAAATGAAAACAATCCATATCGTTAAAATGAATAAAAAGGGATAAAATGTTGGAATTACGAGTGATGAGACAGAAATAAAAACATTATAATAAATAAGTTAAGCTAGAATTAAGAAATATAAACACAGAAGGGAAATCATGAACATAAGAAAAGCAATTAACAGTTATAGACTTAAGTTTTTTTAAAAAATATTCGGTAATTTAAGGAAGATATTGTTAAACACGTGAAAGAAATTAGAAATTCTGTAGAAAATTTAGTAAAAGAACTAAGATCATGAAAAATAAACGTTTCTTTTTAAATACAATTTCATACCACTAAGTTAAAGTGTGTATAGAATACTAGAATGGTTTAAAAAAAGTAAATGAAGTTAAAATTCAGAATATATTGAACATTATAACGTTAAATGGTGAGATATTTTGTTTCAGGGATCGATCCTATATTTTGAATAATAGGACATTTAAAAAAAAAAAGAAACTTCTAAAATAAATTATTTTCTTTTTTCGTCCCTAGAGGACGTCATGAGCAATTCCTAAATAGATTATTTTCTTTTTTCATCCCTAGAGGGCGCCACGAGCATATATCTAAAAAAATCCCCGTTGCCAATTTAAAAAAACTAACTTTAAATGAAAAGCAGGAGGTCTACAACTCAACCAGCAATCTAAAAACAACTCAACTCCACTCGAAACCACGCCTCCTAGTGTGATGACGTTGCCTTTGGCCCCGCCCTCTGTGATGTCAATGACCACGCCCCCTGACCCACTGACCCACCTGATGCAGAACTGTCATTTTTATACTACTAACTTCCCCTTAATAAGTCTGTCTCCTGCCTACTCAACAGTCATTCATTTATGCATTTTTAAAAAAATTGTTTGGATTAATTTTAATTTGCTAAATTAGTGAATTTATTTTCATGGATTGGTTTTGCACTTGATTTGCTTATGCTTCTGAATTTAAATGATATTGTAGATTAGTTCGAGAATTAAATCTTTTATATGTTTGCACATTTTTTTAAAATTCTTTTTAAAAAATTATTTTTTTTTCTTTAAAAAATTTGCTTTTTCTTTTATATACGTGTTTGTTAAAATTTGTATATTTAAATTAAATTATTTAATTAAATTAATTTAATTCTTATGAAACATTATATATAGCTCGTATATCTATATATCTATATGGTAATATACAACATTATATATATATAAATCCATTTTCTTTTAAAATATTGATCATTATGAAGTCTTTATTAAATAACTTCATGATTCAGCTATTATTAGGAATCATCTTTCTTCTTAAAATGCTAGTGTACATTTTCAAAAGAAAAAAAAAATTACAAATCGAACGTTCGGAAGCATAGCTCGCACAGTTAAATCGTGACTAATGATTGCTATCTATTTCGCATTAATTTTCTAGGCTATCGGATAATGGATTGCGCCTCAAAAAAGATATGTTCATATCTCTTCGACAGCCTAATTTAAAATAAAAAGCTGAAGCGAAATTGGAATTTAATGTAAAGTATTCATTTTTTAAGAAATCTGATGTAAAAAGCTCTTTGGGAGCCCGAAATAGAAAGTTAATGAAATGCGTAACTTAAAATTTATGATTTTTTCTAACTTCTAATCTATTATATGAGATAAAATTTTGTAAGCTTGTTAATTAAATATGTCACTAAGGCAGACTCTAAATATAAACTTTTTATTACAGAATTTGTTTACTATTAACACATTTGTACTAAAGCGGAAATCTGTTAAACACTGTAATATGGAACTAAGTTACAGCCTATAAACCTAAATGTAGATAACTATTCAGGATTCAGAATTATGAATATAAAATTTTCTCTAACAGTACAATACCAGCATCAAGTTTCCTTTTTAATTAATTAAACATTGCATATAAGCACAAATATAGCTTCACACTTCAGTTTTTGTAGCCCATCTTCTATTGTACAATTAATCCGTATAGGAATTTTTAAGAATAAAAATGAAAATTTTCAGAATATGGGTGTGAAGAATTGAAATCAAGAAAATATGTAAAAGAGCAGCCACGAATATAGAAGAAAAAATAAAATTAGAATTTTGTCGTTTTTATCGTTGAATTTATTTGGTTTATTTTCAGCAAAAAATTCCAAATTTATATTATCCCTCTAATTCCTGTCAAAATTTGAGCTCCAGACAGCTTACCAAGTACATAGTTTACAGAATACACAGAACAGATATTAAAAATTAAGTCTTTTTTTTATTACAGCTAGATTAGATGATTTAAATATAAAGAGTTAAATATAAAGAGGCAGAATAAAAGAGAGCAGTATTTCACTTCTGCCACCTTTACAGCTTTCTAGCACGCTTCATTTTATTGTAATACTTTTTTGTTCGATATATTTTCCACTCCTGAATCAAATTTCAGTTTATTTAAACTTGATGCTCTCTGAAATTCTAAAACAAGTTAAAAATTTTCTTATTTTAGTTAAAATTTGTTCTGCTTCACTTCCTCTATGTTCTGTTTTTATGATTATTGAATGATATGTAGGCTTCGCAAATGAAAAACATTTATTAAAGTACTGGTTGAAGCTGATGAGATAAGTCATTATGTTATTCTCTTCTAAAACAGTTAAAGTTTCTCCATTTGAAAACTATTGTCATTGTTGACTCATTTAACGGTTTTCCTGTTTAATCAGTTTTTATTATTGTCGTAATATCTTATTACTATTGCGTTTCATTGCTTGTTTTTGCCGTTAAGTATTCTTGCCTATAAAATTTGGAATTGCTTCTCAGAATATTGCTTATATTAAGAAGGAATTACAAAGAAAAATTAAGTTTAAAATACAATTGAGTTACCTTAATGAGGATCTATCCAGTAATATTATTTTTTAAGTGAAACAAATTCTGAATATGTATGTGATTTGTTTTGTTTTTATAAAACTGCAATCATGTAACTGGTACTTTGCTTCTAAAACTGACATTCTAGTGAACACATTACTAGATCTGAAGCGATATGTAAGTGTTGCTTGGTTTCTCAATGCTAATCTAGTGTGAAGGAGGAAGGGATTATTACACAGTTTCCTCGTTCTTGTCATTCTGGAGCTATTTGTGAAAGGCAGCAAGATTAAAAAAAAAAAAAAAATGATTAAATTGTTTCGGTACCATACTTTTCTTTTAAGTATTAATCTTAATTTTTGTTCTTTCGTTTTATTTAGTAATATTTTGATTAAAAGCTATGTAAATTTGTTTAAAAGACTAATTTGAAACATGTACCATTATCCTTCCAAATGCCTGAAATTTCTAATATTAGCGCATTAATTGAACTCTTTATCATTAATTGAATAATTGCGTCTATAGTTTCCTTTTGTAGTTTTTTGATTATATTGATACTGAAAGCTATTTTTGCCATAGTTATAAAATTTTGGTAATATTGCAAGCAATAGTGCTATTTAAATTGCTTTATAAATGTGGACTACTCCCCTTACAAACGTTATCAGCTTTTTACCTTCCATCATGTTGTTCATTTCAAGTTTTTAATTTTCTAGGTTAATTATTGGAGGAGTTAAAGCAACAAGAATCAGCGTAATATTCTCAAATTTGCAGGACTAGTTTCGAAGGTTTCTTATAACATGTGACTTTGGGCTTCAGGTAGTAGACGAACCTCTTATCAAATTCTATTGCTACTTGTTGCAAGCCAATATTTGTTCGCCTGCTGTAAATAATGGCTAATTTAAAAAATATAGTTACTTCGTCTTTTTTTAATAGGAACAAATTCTGCATAATGATAAATCCAAGGTCTTAGATTTAAATGTAATTAAATATATTAAAGCTTAGCATGAAGATTTATATCTTCATGCTAAGCTTCTTCATGCTATTTTTGCTAAACATATAAGGAAAAAACATTGCAAAATGGGTGTTCTTGGATTCACCCATTTTGCAATGTTTTTTCCTTATATGTTTAGCAAAGAAAAATATGTCATGTTATTTTTTTACGAGTGTGTTAAATAATCTTTATCAGTTTCAGTATACAGGTGCTTGTAAAATTATTAAGCCTAAACACAGAGAGATACTTTTGTAAAGATACTATGATGATAAATAATTAATCCTCCCAATATTTTATTAATTTTAGATTAGCAAATCAATTAAAATCATAAACACGAATTTATTTGAAAGGTATTAATTGTTCTTGCTTCACAAGTACGAAGAAAACAAAGTGACAATTGGCAGAAACTTGTCACGTGATATCCCTATCTTAAGATTGTTACGCACACGAAACAGCGCGCATTTCGAGCATCTGCTGCCTGAATTAATATGGTGAAGTGTTCCTAGAATATGGTGAGGCACTACGTTCCAAGAATTAGCAATTTATATTTTGTTTACTAACACTCGTATTGCTGAAACGACGTGGGTAATAGCTCTGTAATTTTAATTTAGATATATCTGAAATATTAGGCACAGTTTTCATTTTTTATTAAATTTCTTCCTTTCATCATTTTTTGTTACACTCAGAATGGAAAAAAAGGAATCATTTATTCAAGATTCAAATTTTATGATGCTAACTGAGAATTTATATAAGCTTCTCATTCATTTTCTAAAAAGTGATTGTAAAATTGTTCCTAAGGAAGGTGAACTTTTCGATATGCTTCCCTCATTTCGTGAAGGTGCTAGGAATGGTTATACTGAGCTTAAAGAAAAGTTCAAGGCATGGGCAAAACGTATGTTTGTAGAAAATGGTGATCTCAAACTGAAGAAAAGCGGAAAAGTCATCATACCTATAGAAAAATGTGACAATGTGATAATGTTTTTGCATTCAGAAGATCATGTTCCAGTTGGCACAGTTGTTAAAAAGGTAAGCAATTTCAATATAAAGAATTTTTTATTATCGGTGACTGTGATCCTATATAAGGGACAAAAATTCAGTAACAACACTATATAGATGCATAGTAAAATCTTTTACTATTTATAAATTTATCATTAAAGTATATAATTGCTCATTTTGAAGACAGCATACTGCTTAAGAACCATCTAATTTCATTTTTACACTCAAAAGGTTAAAGACATGTATTATGCAAAGTATTTAAATAATTTCAACTTCATAGTAAAATTCCATTTTAACAATAAAATTTGACGATCTGGAGAAGACCAACCACACCGTTTTGAGAATATATTCATTACTCTGAACTGAAAAAAAATTACTTTCTATGAAGATATAAATAATAATTTAAACTTGTTATTATTAATTATGGGATTTTTTATATAAGCCTATGAAATAATGTAATTTTGATGCTTTAAAATGTTAAGAAAAATAAGAAATATATACTTAAATTATTTTGATATTCTGAGCAATGTCCGTTAGACTCTTAGCAGTCACCATAATGAGAACACCAAATCAATTAGTTTTGCCCCGTTTGACCAAGAAAAATTACTTCCCATAAAAATATGAATAATTTAATCTTAGAAATTCTTTTCACATATTTTTATGTACTAAATCTAAGATGAAAAGTTATTACGGTATTTTACATTAAAGTTAAAAAAGAAACAACTCTCAATACACTATTTGGAGAATAAGTCCATTATATTATTGAAGGAACTACTTGTAATAAAAATTTATAATTATTTAAGAATAGTTGTATAACTAAATAGAATATTATGCATAACTAAACGTAAGCAGATATTCTATGCAATCTGTTACGCGATGTAAAACTAATTTTACAATGCTGATATGTCAACATGAGAACACAAATTCTGATATTTTGAGAATGCGAGTTTCTGCAATGCGGTTTTCAATTTAAATATAGGTATTCCTAAAATTATTTTATATTTTATAATACCATGAATGTATTTTATTACTGTAATTTTGCCGTAGTATTAATAAGGATAATTTCAGTTTAATATAATGAAAGTAATATAGCTCTAAAGCTGAAAAGTGCTAAGCTGAGAACACCACGTTTCTCGTTTTGAGAAACTGTTCTGTTCTTCATTTATATACAGAAATTAATTCTGACGAAACCATAACTAATTTCTGACGTTTAATTTATTCATATATTTTTTATGTAAAGGCTTGAATATGATAGAAATGCGATGATATTTTGCTTATAAAATTGCCATTTCTGTAATATGCATTTTTCAAACTGAGAACACATCTGTTAAGTCATATTGAGAACACATCCGTTAAGAAGCATTTTGATGAATTCTGTAATTAAACATTTAGTTCTAATACAAAACACTAAGTGCAATGAAAATGTTGTTATAATTAACTCGTAAAAAACATATGCAAGGTTATAAACAGCAATTACTACCAGATATCATATTTTTACTTTTTAAAAATTAGTTAGTCATTTTGAGAATACATAGGCTTGTTTTCGTAGAAATATAGCTTACATTGCTATATCATAATCTAATAATTTAAATGAATTGTATATAAATATGCAAGATTCATGCCATGTACAAATACGTCTTAATAAAAAATATGTGAATATGTAATACGTCTATGTAAGCCATAACAAACACTTTTATCAAAAATTTTATTTGATTGCAACAGCATTCTGCCAAAAATTGAAAAGATTAATTTAAGAAAAAAATCGCCTGAAATATATATGCTGTTTATTATGTGTAAATATGAAACTCAGTTCTGTCTTATAAAATAGATAAGCTAACTGAAATAAAAAAAAAATATGGTACTATTTTCGTATGAAATAAAAATGTTACTTTTCTTGTCCTAAATTTAATTGCATTTGCTTTTATGTATGGCGTAAAATGCTTTATGTAACCAAAATGCAAAGGTGTTAGAAAAATTAGAAATTTTAACTGAAAAAAAAAAAAAAAAAAAAAAAATATATATATATATATATATATATATATAGTATCTTTTTTTTTGTGTATAATAAAATTATTTATGTTAAAAAGGGATTTTTTAGCAGTGTTACACAAACAAAACTCAGAAAATCTTAAACCATCTTCAAATATATAACAAATATAGAAATAAGTAAATTTTAAAGTTATATGTGATATTAAGAACACATATGTAGATCAGTTTAGCTAAAATGCCAAATGCAATAATAGAAATATTTGAGTAATACTGAAGTGAAAAAAATACGAAAGCATTAAAAAAAAAATCCTACCACATCGTAATTAACGAACTTACTGGATAGAATGCTAACTTTGGGAACTCACGTAAAATTACTTTTAGGTGTTCTTGAAAATCAGCAAGCGGAATATCCAGCTTGGTGCTAATTGGCGGAAAAATGTCACGTGACTCAGAGCACCCGTCATCTCGAAAAGAGCGCGAAATAGAGCGAGTGCAGGGCGATTGCGCGCGCGTTCAGTAAGTTAATGCGAGTGTACGGCGATTGCGCGTTATGTCATATATGTTTTTTATGAATTATTTTAAATTAAAATAATTTATTTCTAATTTTAAATTAAAATAATTTAGAGTAGTATTTCAAAACTTTTTTAAAGTCACGGCACGCTTCACAAGCATAAGTAATTTCACGCCGCACCTCACAAGCATAAATAATGTCGCGTCACGCTATAAATGTACATGTTTCTAATTAACGCGATTAATTTCTTCTATTTTAAACTAGAATCAATGAATAGGACCGCTCTTTCAAATATTTTTGCACTATGATGTAGGAACATTCAAGCTAGATATTCATTTTAAATAAGATTTCTTACGTAGTGAAAAACACGCAATGAGCAAAACAAATGAAATGAAAATACCATATCCCTTATGACTGATATTTGACAGTTTTTATATTGCACAGTTTTATATTGCATCAGTTTTATATTGCATCAGTTTTTATATTGCAGAGTTTTTATATTGCATCTGCGAGCTATGTTATCAGAGTTGACTGAGTGACACTGTGATTAAAATTTTATAACATTTACTGTATAAAATTGTGAACGTGAAAGTATAAGAGTAAAATTAATTACACACGGAAAAAAATATGAAAGGTTTAATATTTTAAATTACGTCCAAAGAGGCGTTTTTTTAACATTTGTGTGTTACCTTTATTTATTAAATATCATGTTCTTCGCACTTCGAATCATAAAATTCAGAAAACAAGAGCAATATAGCAAAATAATTTTAAAATGAGCACATCTTTACAGTTTCCGACACACAGTCTCGCGCGTTGGAGATAAAAATGTTTTTTCTGTACAACATTGTCATTGCTCGTTTTGAAATCCTTGAGTTTGTTAATCAAAACTACGTTAAAGTTTACAAAATATGAAATCGATAATAAAACAAATTCCAAATTCGGGTGGCTATGTGCCTATGTTCGGTTGGAGGACTACGTTATTCAAAATTTGATGGGTCTAGGTACCGTTGTTTTTTCACAATACGAGACACATTCATGCAGATTCTTCGTTATTTAATTTCTTTAAATATAATGCAGGGCGGCAACAGTTTGAAAAGTGAACAAACACAGAAAGTGAAACGACGCAAAATGCCGTTATGAGATTAATAGTCATTTTAGTCTAATGCCCTTTGGGCTAAAAAGGAAAATTGACTATGTATAAATATACGACTTATAATAATTAAAAGTTTTATTACAAACGTTTGCAATTTTCGATTGTTGCAGGGGATACATACATTCTTATTTTAGTGAGATTCTTGGTCTTGTTTTTGTGAAGACATTTGGTACGAAGAGCTGCGTGAAATTCATGGCTCAAACTTTTTAATGATGACCTCTTTAAATTCTAGACAGTGAACACAGAACAGAAACATTGTTCACTCATGTTTATTGCAAATGGTACAAGAATGTTTATATCTTTTTCATCGATGGATGGAAACTCCGTTTTTGCGGTTTACCAGAACTGAAAGTAATGGAATACCTTTAAACACAACTTCAAGGTTACGATTCACATTTTAAATCTAATAGTTCCTGCCTTCCTTTCTCCTGCCTTTTCTCCTAATATAAGAAGATGATCTAAGGAAGATGATTTCTCCTAATCTAAGGAAGATGCAAATGTATTTTGAATCCCAACTGAATTTCTTCACGAGTCCAAAGTAGTGGTGAAGCTATCCGAAGCATATATAAATAGCGATCTACAGATTATAGTAATTCATTTTCGAACTTCAATTTAGCTGAATACTGAGGAGTTAGCCAAATTCTTCTAATACTTCTTTCAACAGATAAATTCTGAACAAAACTTTCCCTCACTGCTCCTCACGACTTCAGTATGGACAAATAAAGATTCATGATTTGATTCCATTTTATCAAATAAAATTGGAAAAAGATGCGACTGAAGTGATGTCGTTTTGTCCACATACACCACTTCCATAACGATGTTAAGTGCTCATTTAACGCTATATTAAATTACACGTTCAATGTATATTAAATATGTAATTCTAGAGGTAAATAAACTTATTTGATACGAGAGCTTCTTAATGAGTAAAGCAGTGCATAATTTGAACCTCAGAGACCCTCCCTTTTGTTGCAGCCGCGCCATGAGATCTTGTTTGTAACAAAGTATTCATTAATCATTTTCAGCCTAGCCCTTCAGTACTGTCGCACCCTGATCAGGAGTTTGATTTTTTTGAGTGGCATCTCTTTTTAGCATAGGTTACGCTTCGTTGATATAGATGGCATCTGTTATACACTATTGGCCACTAAAGACACTATGGGAGAGGAGAAGGAAATTAACAAGCTACACATATTTCAAAATAAATTTCTTCCTTTTCTTCCTTTCACTACCAGAGTCCTTTAGGTTTTTCAGAAGCAAAAATCTGCATAAGGAATTCAATATTGACTGCGTTAAATACTACTCCAATAAGTTAAATGAAAATTTCTATTGTAATGCCGAAACAAATCATGCTGCAAAATTTGCTGATATCTTAAATTATGA